CTATCTATCTATCTATCTATCTATCTATCTATCTATCTATCTATCTATCTATCTATCTAATCTATCTAATCTATCTAATCTATCTAATCTATCTATCTATCTATCTATCTATCTATCTATCTATCTATCTATCTATCTATCTATCTATCTATCTATCTATCTATCTATCTATCTATCTATCTATCTATCTATCTATCTATCTATCTATCTATCTATCTATCTATCTATCTATCTATCTATCTATCTATCTATCTATCTATCTATCTATCTATCTATCTATCTATCTATCCATCTGTCTGTCTGTCTATCTATCCATCTATCTATCTTTCTATCTATCTATCTATCTATCTATCTATCTATCTATCTATCTATCTATCTATCTATCTATCTATCTTTCTATCTTTCTATCTATCTATCTATCTATCTATCTATCTATCTATCTATCTATCTATCTATCTATCTATCTATCTATCTATCTATCTATCTATCTATCTATCTATCTATCTATCTATCTATCTATCTATCTATCTATCTATCTATCTATCTATCTATCTATCTATCTATCTATCTATCTATCTATCTATCTATCTATCTATCTATCTATCTATCTATCTATCTATCTATCTATCTATCTATCTATCTATCTATCTATCTATCTATCTATCTATCTATCTATCTATCTATCTATCTATCTATCTATCTATCTATCTATCTATCTATCTATCTATCTATCTATCTATCTATCTATCTATCTATCTATCTATCTATCTATCTATCTATCTATCTATCTATCTATCTATCTATCTATCTATCTATCTATCTATCTATCTATCTATCTATCTATCTATCTATCTGCCTATCTCTTTGTGTAGACACAATATCGCAGAGAAATGTATTCTACTCTCAGAACAGTTACATTAACTATAGCCAGAGTCCTCATGTGAGTCCTCTAGCACACACTCACTTACTGACGGCTGAAGATTTTGAAGAGTCTATGAGATCCAGTCGTGTACTCACTCACTTATACTCTAGTCAGTCATTCCTTTACTCAGTCACTTTACTCACTCATTCACGCACTACTCCCTCACTCGTTCATTCATTACCTGTCTCACTCACTTTATTTATTTTGTCACTCACTCACATTCTGTTATGTCTTAAGTAAAACAAACTAGAGATTAAATTTCAATTCTCTTTATTCTTGACTTAGCAGTCACACAGAAGACACGACTGGGCATGTCACCTTGAAAACAGAAGACATTCCGGCATGTGTAGAGTGAACACATCTCAGTAGCCAAACAAAGCTACACCGTTAGTGTCTCACAACAGTTATCTCTGGGGGAAGGGGAAAAGGGAAAGCTCAGCTCAATAGTAACTGGGGGTGCTGGTGCTACCGGTGGTACTGCGGGTGCTGGTACCTGGAGTTAAAGTGCTGGTGGTGGAGCTGCTGCCACAGATGCTGTCGTAGTTGTCCGGGAAACCAGTCAGCTGCTGCCTGGCAGAGACACAACACAGCTATATGTTAGTGTCAACCTCAAGGTTTGTACAGCAATGTCTCTGTCAGTTTGACACGACCTCTCCTGATAGTTCACTGTTATTTCTACAGTAAAAGCTCTGTCAGTTTGACACGACCTCTCCTGTTAGTTCACTGTTTTTTCTACAGTAATGTCTCTCTCAGTTTCACACGACCTCTCCTGTTAGTTCACTGTTATTTCTACAGTAATGTCTCTGTCAGTTTGCCACGACCTCTTCTGTCAGTTCACTGTTATTTCTACAGTAATATTTCTGCATTTAAGTTTGACTTCTTATGATGTCACACTGTTAGTCTTGGCGCTAATGACATCACGCTTTTAGCCTTTGCGCTCATGACCTCACACACTGTCAGTCTTGGCGCTTATGACGTCATACACGGTCAGCCTAGGTTCTAATTCAGTCATTGATACTCTAAACACAGATTACTTCATTTATTGTTCAATTATCAAATGCAACTTTAACTCAGATGAGGCCACCCATTGTTACACTGACCACTAACCAGGTCACACGACAAGCGATAAGACACGATCGGGTCTGAAGTTTGGGGGAAGGGATGGCAGAATTTGATAGACCAATCAACGTTTGGTGACTGAGGTAGTCAACATTACGCCGACCGCCTGTACTTTCCAAGACTGCATCTGGTGCCCACTCATGCCTGGGTGGACCTGTGAGCCAATTGTCATATTTGTGGATGTGTTATTTGTTGTCACAAATGCCCAGCAGCGCTTTGTTTTTTAAATATACAGAAGCCATGAGTTGTTAGCCGTTGGGCTCGGTACTATGGATATCGCAAGCCTTCGGCCTTGATTCCATGATAGATACCAAACATCTGGAGGATATGTGGCTCCTGCCCCCGGGAGTGAACGTGGACGACAAGAAGTGTCACCCCGTCACCGCGAAGTCAGGTTTAACCAACTACGCTAGAGAGCCGGGCCCCAGCAGCGTTTACATGATGTCTTGTGATACTTTTTTAATGTCGTTTTATTTTGTGTATCACGCGATGCACTTAACGACTTAGTGAAATTCATCAATACAAATAAAGCTATGCCAGATACGGGTCTTATATTGTAACTTAGTTAAATCTGCACACTTGTAACAAGGATTCAACCCCTAGTGGAGAGAGCTCTGCTTTTCTGACTAGGTGGCTTTTACAGCATGTTTTGCTGGTGTTACATGTCCGTTGAACTACACAAGGCAGGCCGAACTAGGGATCATGGTATATGGGGAACATATCATCCCTGCACATTTTTGACCATCGACTGTGATTCCCAAGCCTTTGGTGGGTGTAGCATTGTGGTCTGCATCTCCCTCAAAACCCCACCTGCCCACCTGGGTGACAGTGCCAATATGAAACCGTCGTAACAAAATCTTCTCTGGCAGTGAGAGCCGCCGGCACTTCTGTGGAAATGTTAATCAACAGGTTGTTGATACATGACCTACCTCTCTCCTACACGATCCAGGATGTATGACCTACCTCTCTCCTACACGATCCAGGATTTATGCCCTGCCTCTCTCCTACACGGTCCAGGATTTATGACCTACCTCTCTCTTACACGATCAAGGATGTATGACCTACCTCTCTCCTACACGATCCAGGATGTATGACCTACCTCTCTCTTACACGATCAAGGATGTATGACCTACCTCTCTCCTACACGAACCAGGATTTATGCCCTGCCTCTCTCCTACACGATCCAGGATTTATGACCTACCTTTCTCTTACACGATCAAGGATGTATGACCTACCTCTCTCCTACACGATCCAGGATGTATGACCTACCTCTCTCTTACACGATCAAGGATGTATGACCTACCTCTCTCTTACACGATCCAGGATGTATGACCTACCTCTCTCTTACACGATCCAGGATGTATGATCTACCTCTCTCCTACACGATCCAGGATGTATGACCTACCTCTCTCCTACACGATCCAGGATGTATGATCTACCTCTCTCCTACACGATCCAGGATGTATGACCTACCTCTCTCCCACACGATCCAGGATGTATGACCTACCTCTCTCCTACACGATCCAGGATGTATGACCTACCTCTCTCCTACACGATCCAGGATGTATGATCTACCTCTCTCTTCCACGATCCAGGATGTAGGACCTACCTCTCTCCTACACGATCCAGGATGTAGGACCTACCTCTCTCCTACACGATCCAGGATGTATGACCTACCTCTCTCCTACACGATCCAGGATGTAGGACCTACCTCTCTCCTACACGATCCAGGATGTATGACCTACCTCTCTCCTACACGATCCAGGATGTATGACCTACCTCTCTCCTACACGATCCAGGATGTATGGTGTCTCGGAAAAAGACGGATCAGTTGGTGGAGGGATGGTGCTGTGGGCTTCACAGGTGATGGTGTCAGCAAAACTGAGGTAATTCTGAAAGTTTAAGGACACACCAATGTCATTAATTAAACATAGATATCAGATGATAATATTCATCGCATTGTCTGCAACATAAAGACTCGGACAATGTCCCCCCAGTTCACGCAGAGACATGAAGAAGACAATAGGCACCAAACTCATGCCAGTATGACCTAGATATCTAAAACCGTTGAGTTGTACACTACTACGACATCATGTACTGTTGTTTCACTTAGCCGGGCCGGCTGTGTGGAGGAAACATTTAGTGGAGAGGTAGGAGGTGATGGTCGAGTTGTTGGAGCTGCCAGTGGGAGGCAAGAGAGGTAATGTGTGATCTGATGTGCGTGGAATTAGAAAGAATGTTTCACTTGAGGAAGCGTATTATCTGCCTTACCAAAAACCATATCTAATATTCTGGTGAAGAACGTTTTGAAGCTAGTACAGCAGAGAATCCACGTCTATGCCAGGACGGCAGAGAATCCACGTCCATGCCAGTACAGCAGAGAATTCACGTCTATGCCAGGACGGCAGAGAATCCACGTCTATGCCAGGACGGCTAGTGGGTATATTGTGTTAAACACTGTGTTAGCTGTAAGCTGTTTGGTTCAGGTCACATGACCGGAGGAGTCATGGTCGCTAACGAACGGGAAGAACCAAACAGAATACTAAAATAAAACCGGCCCCGGAATTCGTTGGCGTGGCTCCCTGATCTAACTTTCAGGTGATCGGAATTGAAAAAAGGGGTGGGCGGGGGGGGGGGGGGGGGGGGGGGGGGGGGGGTGCAGCATTATGGGGACGGACTCAGCCAAGATAGTACATAAGCTTAACAGCACGTACACTTCAAAAAGGAGCATGTACACTTCACATTGAGCACGTACACTTCACATTGAGCACGTACACTTCACATTGAGCACGTAAACTTCACATTGAGCACGTACACTTCACACTGAGCACGTACACTTCACATTGAGCACGTACACTTCACATTGAGCACGTACACTTAACACTGAGCACGTACACTTCAAAAAGGAGCATGTACACTTCACATTGAGCACGTACACTTCACATTGAGCACGTACACTTCACATTGAGCACGTACACTTCACATTGAGCACGTACATTTCAAAAATGAGCATTATGTACGTGACTTGATCAGTAACACTTAACATACTATACGTGACTTGATCAGTAACACTCAACATTCTATACGTGACTTGATCAGTAACACTCAACATTCTATACGTGACTTGATCAGTAACACTCAACATTCTATACGTGACTTGATCAGTAACACTCAACATTCTATACGTGACTTGATCAGTAACACTCAACATTGTATACGTGACTTGATCAGTAACACTCAACATTCTATACGTGATTTGATCAGTAACACTCAACATTCTATACGTGACTTGACCAGTAACACTCAACATTCTATACGTGACTTGGTCAGTAACACTCAACATTATATACGTGACTTGGTCAGTAACACTCAACATTCTATACGTGACTTGGTCAGTAACACTCAACGATCTATACGTGACTTGGTCAGTAACACTCAACGATCTATACGTGACTTGATCAGTAACACTCAACATTCTATACGTGATTTGATCAGTAACACTCAACATTCTATACGTGACTTGATCAGTAACACTCAACATTCTATACGTGACTTGATCAGTAACACTCAACATTCTATACGTGACTTGATCAGTAACACTCAACATTCTATACGTGACTTGGTCAGTAACACTCAACGATCTATACGTGACTTGATCAGTAACACTCAACATTCTATACGTGACTTGATCAGTAACACTCAACATTCTATACGTGGCTTGATCAGTAACACTCAACATTCTATACGTGACTTGATCAGTAACACACAACATTCTATACGTGACTTGATCAGTAACACTCAACATTCTATACGTGACTTGGTCAGTAACACTCAACATTCTATACGTGACTTGATCAGTAACACTCAACATTCTATACGTTACTTGGTCAGTAACACTCAACATTCTATACGTGACTTGATCAGTAAAACTCAACATTCTATACGTGACTTGGTCAGTAACACTCAACATTCTATACGTGACTTGATCAGTAAACCTCAACATTCCATCACCATTTAGCAGCTAACATTTACATTTTTCTTTAAGAAACGTTATTCTTTCTAACTCTGCTACTCGTAGGAAATTTATTAGCGAATTTATGGTGAACGGTTTTGAAATATATTTCTAATTAAGGATGGACAAGAACTGAGCTTCAATTACCACACACACACACACACACACAGCGAGAAAGAGAGAGAGAGAGATAGAGAGAGAGAGAGAGAGAGAGAGAGAGAGAGAGAAGAGAGAGAGAGAGAGAGAGAGAGAGAGAGAGGATACTTCAATCTTTCAATAAAGAACTCCTCCTCCCATTCATTTTGATAATGGTAAGTCTTTGGTTGTTTTGTAATGTTTGATTGGTGACTCATTACGACTAAACGATTTTACACAGAAACTGTCAATGTTACTGTCAGAAACACTAAAGTAGCAGAGAATTGCAATGCAGTGTAGAGATTGTCAATTTTCCCGCGCATTCCACGCTGCCAAGAAAACGGAATCATAGTGCCCCGGAAGTTTCACTAGTAAGTCTCATCTTAAATGTGTGTCCTGGGGTAAAAGCATACCGATCCATTACAGGTCAGTTCTTGATCAGTCCGCTAGAGGTCAGTTGTTGACCAGGCCGCTAGAGAAAGTCGAGCAACGATTGAAAAAAAAGCAGATTCCTTTCAGCTAATATGATACTGACTCCAGCGTTCCTTCTACCACTTGACCATGATTATTTTAAAACTTGACCTACAACTCTTACACTACTAGACTTTAAACGGCTGTACAGTTAGCATACTAACTCTTACATTTTAGACCGTTAGCTCTTACACAGTTTGGTCATCCGCTCTTATACAAGTAGATCATCAGCTTCGACGCCATACTATAGTCAGCTCTTGCACTACTAGGCCATCAACACTAGAACATCATCACATTCACCTCTAGACCATCAACACTTACACAAATAGACCATCAACACTTACACAACTAGGCCATCAACACTTACACAAATAGACCATCAGCACTTACACAACTAGGCCATCAACACTTACACAAATAGACCATCAGCACTTACACAACTAGGCCATCAACACTTACACAACTAGACCATCAACATTTACACAAGTAGACCATCAACACTTACACAACTAGACCATCAACATTTACACAACTAGAGCATCAACACTTACACAACTAGAGCATCAACACTTACACAACTAGACCATCAACACTTACACAACTAGACCATCAACACTAGAACATCAACACATTCAACATTAAGCTATCAAAACACCACAAGACCACCATTAGCACTTACACCACTACACCATCAACTCTCACCCTACAAGACTCACAATCCACGCCCATTAGCTCTGACAATATTTACCCCATTGATGGTGGTTGTACAATCAGGAAATCTGCCCACGTACACGGTCGGGGCTAGTCTCCTGTAGACTGTGGTACAGTTGCTGGATCCAAAGTCCCTGCGTGGACGATTTGGGGCTAAATAGAGGCTTGACCACGAGCAAATCAAATGAAGGAAGCGCAGGAGAGGGTAGGGGGTCGTGAGTCCAGCCCTCAGTTTTGCCCCCAAACCACTTGGCGGAAGTGGCCGGAAGTTGCCTTTAAGACGCGGAAGGGCAATTTTACACGTGACTAGGGCCCGTTAGGGAATTTTCCCCACGAAATTTACGACCGTTTTTCGAAGGATAGCCCATTTCTGAAATACTGTGTACATAAAGTCGTCGGTTCGTTTCTAGATGCAAACATTTTTTTTCGAAAATGCCCTCGGGTCTTAGGTCAACCCAGTCTTGCGTGGGTACCACTATAGTCCTAGGAAGTAAAGGCGGCCGGCGTGATACTGACCATATCACTCACCGAGTGCCGACTGGTTTGTACAATATAGATGTAGCCCTAAATCCCCAATATGAATCAAGGCGGGAAAAAGAGTTTTTTTAACTTTTCTTTTGTATTATTAACAGAAAAAAAGAAATTAAAACAATTATAAATAAAAAAG